AAACAAATGCCGTGACGAAAAATAAAATGCAGATGATGAACGAATGAGAAAGAAGCACAAAAACATGTACGTACAGTACACAATAGTAATTACAAACAAGAGTTGGTTGTTAGTTGCCAACAGCACAGCAGCTCCAGACAAACAATGACACTCAAACCCAGTGTTACTCACCTGTGGAGCCGAATCAAAGCAACATCCGCGTCTGTTTTAGGCCTTTCCACTTAGCTCTCTCTGGCGCTGGACAGCGTTTCTAATATTAACACGGGTCCTAAAGCTCTGGCCCAGACATGACCCTTTATTCTCCAGTGATGTCTTCTGAGCTTTTCTCTCCTGTATTGTCTCATCTCTCTTTCTGCAAATCTCCCTCTTGCCCTTTCTCTCTCCTCCACCGTCATACGCCTCTAATGCTGATTGGCTACACGTTTGTTTGTGTGTCGGTCCGACTAACTTCCAAACAGCGTTTTTCAAATATCGCTTACCCCACCTTTAACATGAGCTAACTATGAAACATGCAATTATTAATCTTAGTTAATGTTAATTTCAGCATTTACTAAAACAGAATTAAAATCTAAAGTTGTATCTGTTAATGTTATCTAATCCATCGGTTCCCAACAGGGGGGTCGCGGCCCACAAGGGGGCCTCAGCGAGCTCTCTGGGGGGTCGCGTCATAATTTGAAAAGTTTTGAGCAATGAGCATTAAATAAAAGTCCTTAACTTTTTTCTGTTCAAAATGTATATAATGAGCGAGTTCATCATGAATCCATCAATCCGTGTTTTTGTCTTATCCTGAACCACTATGGTACAGCTATAATAAGTGTTTACATTGGGGCTATTTTACACTGGTTCGGATCGCTGCCGCTGCGGAGTAGCCCAGTACCTGCGTGACTCGTCATAGACGTACACAGAGAGATGTAGTTCCGGCTACAATGTTCTTCCGAAAGACGCATTATTCTGTTAATAAACGCAAGTTTATTATCGCTCGCTATTGTGCCAAAAGCGTAAAAAATAAAGCCTCACATTGATAAAGCCTCACAAATAACTTGCAAGTATTGAGGCCCCAGACAGCAGTCATTTAGTAATTGCCTATATTCTTTCTTTTTTTTACCTACACACCAGTGTGAATATTTGTTTTTGCATTTCAAATAGGGCCAATATATAGGCTTCTCCTAGGCTTACGTTTTTAAAATTACAAAGGGCCTACTGATGTTTTTGTTACTGTATTTTCAATATTATAGCCTATTATTTGTGCATAAACATATCTGGTTATAGTAAACATACATTTGTTTGAAAACAACATTTTGTCATCCTTGCTGCAAGCTTACAAGAGCGATAATATCATTAAATGTGAAGGGGGGCCCTAAAATATTTTCTTGGGAAAAAGGGGGTCTCAGACAAAAAAAAGGTTGGGAACCACTGATCTAATGGACCTGAGCTAACACGAACTTACAATGAACAGTTGTATTTTTATCAACTATTAAACACTGTAACAAATGCATTGCTCGTTGTTAATTAATGCTAGTTAATGCATTAACTAATGGTACCTTTATTGTAAAGTTAATTATCCTTAATAACTTCTCTGTCTCATTCACATTTTTCAGGTTTATTACCCATATCTGTTGATCAATAAAAAGAGGTATGCCGGGCTGTATTTCTCTTCTGATGCTGAACATCATGATAAGATGGATTGCAAAGGAATAGAGACTGTCAGACGAGACAACTGCCCTCTAGTGGCCAACCTTATCAACACATGCCTCCAAAACATCCTCATTGACAGGTACAAACATTGCCACACTCAGAAAACCACCATGCGCTCGTATACGCAACAGTGACGCACATACTAGCATGCGTAATAGTGAAGACATGACTCTACAAGCCTTACTAAAAGCCTTTTTTGTTAATGTTCTAAGGGCAACACCATTCATATACCAACATGCACATTAATTCACAGGAATAATAATGTGTGTTGTGTTTCAGAGACCCTGATGGAGCAGTAGCCCATGCTAAAGAGGTGATCTCTGACCTTCTGTGTAACCGCATTGACATCAGTCAGCTGGTCATAACTAAAGAGCTGACACGTACCGCACAGGAGTATGCCGGCAAACAGGCCCACGTCGAACTTGCCGAGAGGTGTGTGTTCTTATTATCTTGACTGTTAATTCATACCTGCAATTCATACAAAATTCGCCATTCTGACATTGAAATAGGCTTTTCTCATGATACATGCAAATCCGAGGAGTTTGTATTTGGTGTGGGGGAGGGTTAAATGAATGTATATCTGAACGGGACTGTCTTCAGAAAAATTTTGGTGGCTTTTTTTTCATCGTGCCTCTTTATGATGCTTTATAAAGTAGTGTTTATAAGCGAAGCACTGTTTAGTGTAGCCACTGTATTTCTGCTTTTCCATTAGCGCCACTTGCATTCAGAGTGAATTTGCCTTTTCATTCAGCCTGTTTTTGTTCAGACCAATTATACATAACATACAGGGGCGCCTTCAGATAACCAGACTTTGCAGGTATGGAATTATTGAGCATTTAACCACTTTCCACCAACATGGGTTTCAGGATGCGGAAGCGTGATGCCGGTAGCGCTCCAAACCTCGGAGATCGAGTTCCGTACGTCATCATCAAAGCAGCAAAGGGAGTGGCGGCATATATGAAATCAGAGGTCAGTATTGTGTATTGTCTGTTTTGATGTGGCTGATTTTCTGTACTGTAGTTATAACTGCCGAGTTCTGTATCTCAGGACCCCATCTATGTGCTGGAGAACAACATCCCTATAGACACGCAGTACTACCTGGAGCAACAGCTTTCCAAGCCTTTACTGCGCATCTTTGAGCCCATACTGGGAGAGAGCAAAGCTGAGAGTGTATTACTGAGTGAGTATCATCTTCTATTACGCCTACAAACCCAGGATGTTTAAAGTCGGCTCGAAATGAAAATGGTTTGCGAAACTACTGTTCATTCATGTTTTTAGTGCAGTCAGTCATTTCTATTGTTTTGTGGTATATAGCCTTTTTATCTCATCACATTCAAATAAAACTGCAAACTGTGGTAAAATAGAATTTCTTTCACCGTGCCTCAGAGCTGGTGATAAACCGTTTTTTGCTGTGCTGTTCCAGAGGGAGATCACACACGCTGTAAGACGGTCTTGACATCCAGGGTCGGTGGTCTCATGGCTTTCGCTCAGAAAAGAAGCACTTGCATTGGCTGCAGAGCTGTGCTCAAAACTGATGGTATGTATCAAGTGTGTGTGTGTTGGGCTAAACTGGAGCTTCAGTAGTACCACAAATCACAAAACTCTGCATCTGATGGTTTTCCTCTTCAGTGGCCGTATGCGACTTCTGCAAAAAGAGAGAGTCTGAGCTTTATCAGAAAGAGGTGTGTTTTTTTTTTTTTATATATACAAATCCTGGCAAAATTATCTTCGTACGTTGGGCAAAATATATTCTTACTGTTGCTGAAGATTGTCCATGTGTGTCTTTTAGATTGCTCATCTGTCAACACTAGAGGAGAAATTCTCTCGTCTGTGGACTCAGTGTCAACGCTGTCAAGGTTCACTCCATGAAGACGTGCTTTGTACCAGGTGTTTACACATGCACGTTAGGCCTACACAATACATTGAATATTCACTATATATTTTGAATGATTTTTTTTGGTGATAGTTGATATACCTGTGGTTCTAAATAATAATTTCTCTCTTTTTCAGTCGAGACTGCCCCATCTTTTACATGAGAAAGAAAGTGCAGAAAGATTTAGACGATCAGGAGAAGCTCGTTTCCCGTTTTGGCTGGTGATGGACGGGGATTTTTTCATCCAACATTCATCCTCTTACCTCAGTGAAGGAGTCTGTCACACTCCAGATTGTAAAGAATCTTCTTTTTTTTTTAGTGGTTGAATAAATAGTGCATTTTTGTAAAATTGTTGTTTTCTTTTGTCTGATTGAACATTATACTTGGATGTAATTTGACAATTTTATCAAATTCAGATTTTAAATGTCACAGTTATAATTTTTTTAAATATTTTTTTAAAATCATATCACTTCAAGTCATGGACATTTCTATTGTCAATATTCTTTATAATGCTTTGCTCTAAAATATTTCATCCGATAGAATAGTGATCCTTTACCATGAAGCTACTTTTGTAAAGAAAAAGAAAAAAAGACTACAAATAGAGCAGAGAACAAAATATTAAAATATCATCCCTAGCCAATATTTAATATAGCATTCATGCATGTTTGGGTTTCAGTCATTATAAGACTGGAGAATCTTTCAAGAATCTTCCTCAGGCAACCTAGATCATATGGATACATTAAATTAGGAATTAAAAGACAGAATAAACAAAGGGCTATTTCTTGTTCACAGTTCCTCGTTTTAACTTTAGGAACTGTTTTTGTCTCGTTTTACCAAGAGAACTTACTACTATACGTAGCCTTTTACAGCAGATACCTGATCACAATGGCATTGTGAGAATGACATATCAAAACTACACAAAAATCTGATTGCATCGGATTTTCTGAGAATATTCAGAAAAGTTGTTGCAACTGCCCTGGTATGACCGCAATAATTGTAACACGACATACCTGTTGTAACACCTTATAAAGCGATAACTGAGAAGTTATTGTTTCAACTACAATTGGACGTTTGAATATTAAGGAAAGCACACTGTCATCTAGCCAAAAGTCTCTTTATTCACAAAACATAACTACAGATGTCAATGTGGCAAAGGGAATGCATCAATCACAAGTTTTGGTCACATGTTTAATCTGAACCAAAATTATCACTGTCTGCTGTCAAACTAAAGAAACGGGAGAACAGTTCTCACCTTCCTCAACCAAGCCTCTTCACTGGTGGGAACATCTCTGGCATTTTACACACTTCATCATAATACATGAAATGGTAATGTCCAATATAATGCCGGTATGTGTAACGAAAAACGAAATCAAAACTTTTACAAAAATACAGAACTTTACCATGAAATACTGCAGGTTAAAAAAAAAAAAAATTAAGAAGAGAGCTTGATTTATTTTATTTTCATAATTATAGAAGGGCTACATTAAGTGAAGGACAGCTAAGTTTTAGTCCAAGCCATGACAACAACAGAAACCTGGGGAGAAATGGATTCTGGGAAGGTGATGAATGTATGAAATGTAAATTTTTGTACAAACTCCCCAAAAAGACAAAGCAAAAACTATGGAAATCCCCTTTAGATGATGAAATTACAGCATTTTTAGCAAGTACTGAAAATATTTGCTGGATAAATCCCACAATGCGTGAGGTGGAAACACTTTTTAAGGTGTGCAATACATCATGCTAGTGGTTTTGAATGTGGCGAACACTTGCTCTAATGTGCTTTCCCACAGGCCACAGAAACTTTAGGGGACTTCTTAGCTTCCTCATTCCCGACCACCGCTAACAGAAGCACGCGGCTTACACAGTTGGAGATAAGACATAAGGCTTACTTAAAAACAGTTACCCATTACCGACTTAAAGTATATCCCTTCACCACCTTATTCATTTGTTATAAGGGTCAAAGTTCCTTGCAGTCGTGGTTCTAAAGTACGACTGTAAAACTATGACATACGTCAGATCTTTTTAGCACAGAAGAGGAAGCAGCAGCGCAAGGTTGTCGAGTCCACTTAAGACTAAATTATCCAGCCGAATATGATAGTGCGAGGTCAATATATGTCTTTTCCAAAACAATTCCACAGTTGCATGGTTCTCATTGAGGTCTCATGCGCACATACATACATACATACAAACACATACAGCAGCCAATCAGGTTCCTATTCCTCAAAGGCTGGTTGGTGTAAGACACAAGGGGCAGTAAGAAAAGGAGATAGGATGTGTGTGTATGTGTGATGCTACAGTAGTGTATGCGTGTATGTGAGAATGTGTGACCTTGAGTGCATTGCTATCACAGGGGGGCTGTACGCGTGTATCGCTATAAAAGAGTGCAACGTCTCTGTGTGTGCTTTTTGCTCTTCTTATTGCTGCGGTTTGTCTCCTTGTATCTTCGGATCTCCCGCACAAGAGAGTAAAATGCCTCCTCAACTCCCTGTGGACAGAAAACAAGATAGATTTCGAATTAATGGTGCTTTATAGCAACAGCTGATTAATTTCAGTCAATCTGAGGAGAAATCACAAAAGTGTTGGTTTTATGTCAAAAAGTTTGTTGCACGTTATGAATAGGGATGTGCACGAGTACTCGGGTACTCAAGTACTTGGACGTGACAGCGACGATAGATAATGAAAACGATGATCGCCATGACTCCATGAAAAAAATATATTAATTTTTTTTTCTGGTTGGTTATTGCGGCATTATGAGCGGTCCCTGAGGTCTGATTGGTTAGCGTTAGACAGCATGCCGTCCAGACCAGCGAAATAAAGTGAAACTACGGATTTGAAAGCGCGCAGTAATGCCTGGAATCACTTTGATCATAAAATGGAGTTAAGTGCAAGATGTGTAGCGCCAATCTGCCATATACATAACATTGTAATGTGAACATTATAAAATGTTGTGAATTCCCTGTGCTTTAATTGCCCGTGTTTCAGCGCGTTGTTACGGGAAGAGCGCATCCCCAACGGGAGTAGTTCTGGCTAGCGTGTCACTTATTTCAAGTTCACTTGCTTCCATTTGTGCAGATACAAGCTGTAATGCTACGTTTATATTGTGTATCTAGGATATCGGAGTAATCTTGTCATATAGAACATGCTTCAGTTTACTGGTGTCCATTTAGCTTCACCTCATGCAGCTATTCCTTTTATGTTGATGTTTCTTGTTCGAAAACACTGATGGATTATTGATAATCTAGCGGTGTTATTTTTCTAGTCATATTTTCATGTTTTGATAGACATTTTTTTATTTGTCAACATTCATTTTCGCAACAGTGTCTTAACTAAAATATTTCATCACCACCATGACAGACATTGTGTGACTTCAGGTTTGCTGACATATTTCTGGTGGGTTGGGTTATGGTGAGCTTTTTAGAACCTCTAAATTTAACAAACTGCTGTGAATTATTCAGCTTGATTAGTGTGCCATATTTCTCCACCACTAATGTCTAATGCAGCAGCATTCATTCATTCATTCATTCATTCTTAGGGGCAATTCACACAGAACACATTTTGCTTTCAACTGTGCTGCTTTTCTATTATTTTTTCAAAGTAAAATGCACTACACGGATGTGTTTGTATGTTTTGCTCACATCTCGCGTCTTTTGCAGTGTCTCGTGCATAAAGTGTTTTAAAAATGTGGTAGTTCAACTTTTTTTTTTTTTTACGGGTCTAGGTTTTTGCGTTCGGTGTAAATCCATCATAATATCGCTGTTGTTCTGAATGATATGATGGTGTTCGGATCAACAGCACATTCCGTACACCAGTTCAATAAACAAGAAGTTAATATTGAGTAACTTATAAAGGCACAATATTGGTTCTCATTTTAGCTATGACATCAAAAATGATCCCAGACACAGTCAAAGCAGAATCAACTGTAAGTGGCCATTCACACAGAACATGTTTTTCATTTAAAAACACAAGGCATGTGAAACACAGGGCCCTGAAATGGAGAAAAAAAACACACACACTAGAAACAAAAGGCACAAGCGCAAAACCATCAAAAATGTCTGTCTTGCACATGATTGCATATAAACAGTGGAAAAGCAGCGCAGTGGAATGCATTTAAAAGTCCCTTGAACTTTAAAATCAGCTTCACCCACCTGTCGCGTCTTTGCAGACGTTTCAACAAACGGGACCCCGTAACTTCTGGCAAGCTCTTGAGCTTGACGTGACTCTACAGTACGTGAAGCCAGGTCACTTTTGTTTCCCACCAGCACCATCGGGACATTGTCACTGTCTTTGACACGGTTTATTTGCTCCCTGCACAGACAACACAAAACAAGGTTATTATTATTTTTTCACACAGCCTAATTTTTGAAATTCTACTAGGCCCTTCTCTAATGCCACACTGGTTTCTTTATTCAATTTCAAGGGACAAAAACGGAAGTCAGTACATTAAGAGTGTAGTGACTTCCTGCTGAATCGACCTGTAATTTTTTGCTCAAAAATCAATCTAGCAACTCTTCCATTTGATCATATTTTAAGTTTTCAGGAACCAAGAAGCTTTATTGGCAGTTAGATGACACAGACTGCATGCTTAAGAGGAATTGGTTGGGTCTAAGTCCACAAATCTCAAATAGAATATGTAAGTATTAAGTCTGAAAGACTATTTGATGGTAACCGATATACTTGATGTTAATTGGTTTGTCCATATGCGTTTGACTATGTACCTGTAAAGGTGTACGTCCTCAAAGGACTTGGCGTTGTTGATGGCAAAAACACAGAGAAAGCCCTCTCCTGTCCTCATATACTGGTCTCTCATGGCACTGTACTCCTCCTGACCTGCAGTGTCCAGGATGTCCAGCAAACACGTCTCCCCGTCGATCACAACCTGCTTTCTGTATGAATCCTGCATGGAATAGATGTAAAAAAGAAAGAAATTAGGGCCCTATGAAATCAGTTTTATTTTTTCCCCAAATTCCATTTGAATTTTTCTAAACTCTGATTCAGTGGTCAAATTAAACGTTAGTAATAGAAAAATTCATGAAACGTATACACTTTAAAGGTTTATAAAAAATAAAAAAAAATAAAAAAATTTAGGGCCCTATGAAATACGTTTTATTTTTTCTCAAATTCCATTTTATTTTTCCCAAAATCAATGTTATCTGTTTTAATTTTTCAGGATTCCATTGTAATGGTTTAAATAAATATTAATAATCAAAAAAGAATGTCTAATCAATTTAATTAATAAAACTGATGACATAAAACAACCAATTTATATTATTGTTATTATTATTATTATTATTTTTATTTTTTACAAAAATAGGACCATATGAAATGCTTTATTTTATTTCAGAAATTCTGTGTTGTGGATTTTTTTATATATATTATTTATTATTAAGAACATCTGGCAATCAAATGAAGGCATAAAATATTAACAATTTATTTAATCTTTGCAAATGTAATCAACTGAACATTAAGCAATTCCTTTTATTTTTGGCAAACAAAGTGCTGCACAACAATAGAGGTGATTATTCCTTAAAGGTTTCATAATTTTATTATTATTACTGTATTACCTTAAAAGGTACATTCTACTGTACAATAGTAATATGTGTGTCGATTTCTTTTTGCCAAAAAAAAAAAAGATCATCTTAAAGAAGGTGAACTCTTACCTCAATAGTGGGGTCATACTCGTCTACAAAGTGATTTTGAATGAGCTGGATGGTCAGTGCACTTTTCCCAACGCCACCAGCACCGACTACCACCAGCTTGTATTCTGTCATTCTGGATGGAAGAGAGAGAAGGGGGTTAGAAACAGGGGGTACAAAAATATTCTGACTGGATTTATTCAGCAACAACTTGTGAAAAGCATAACCTTTAGTGATACAAGCTAACTACTCTGAGTCTGATTGGTACACTTATATACATCATGGCAGAGTTAAAGGGCTGAACACAAAAGAAGATCTGCCACTATTCACTTTCATTGTATGGAAAACAACTGTAGTGAAAGTGAATGGGGACTTAGGCTGTAATTCTGCCTTTTGTGTTCCGCGGAAGAAAGAAAAGGCATACTGGTTTGGATCAACATTAGGGTGGGTAAATGATGACACAAGTTACATTTTTGGGTGAACTGTCCCTTTAATAACCGGAAAAGAACATACACATTACATAAGATGGTTAACTGAGATTTTAAAGTCGGTGCATTATGTCAACAAATCATATTCAAATATATTTAAGACCGAGGTTGAAGATAACGTTTACTCAGTTCTTATCTAATTTACTTAGCCGGCAAGTAACTTAGCACTAACTTTTATCTTTTTCTCAAGTGCTATCAACAGGTAAGGAGTTATTTATCGGCTTGTTTGTGTATTTTACCTCGCGTGTGGTTGTTAGATCAGTTCGGCTCGCCCAAACGAAGCGCTTCGAGATGAATTAGTATTGAATGAAGTCCAAGGATTAGCCCCTGAGCCTCATTACGATCGACCAGACAAACTAAACTCTCCCGAGAGTCGAAGACAGGACGAAATTATTCGGGCTGATGGATCTTCAACCGTGAAAAAAAAACCTATTAAGCTTCGTATTTGAACTATGTTTCTCCACTCTAATCAAATTTTACGATTACCCAAATAAATCCGCCCGTAGAGTCATTAGCTCCTCTCGGCTAAGACTCTCCCAGATTCATTGAGGGCGAGGAGCGAGGTGGGATCAGCGGAGGAGATGACCAATGAGATTTACTCTGCCCGTCGCGTTCTTAAATCCTATTGGGCGAGAAATAAACGGAAGTAAGGATTGACCAATGTCAGTGCAATGCCTCTTTCCAATTTCTCCATCATGTCCCGCCCCGTAAGTATGGGCCAATCAGGTTCGTTTAACATATTAAAAGGCCAGAGATGCACGTCAAACCATCAAAGGTCTCAGTAATCTGAATCTGTTAATACAGTTATAATGCTATCGCTGAACTTTTCACTTAGCTCTTATAAGAACATACAATATAGTTAGTGCTATTTTTGACTGTCAATGCATTTATAAATAATGCATTTCACAAATATTAATAATTGTATTATCATTTAGTTGTTACCTTTTACTGTCTATGGTTGTTACTTAATGCCTTCCTCAATGATTAAGGTATTAACCACCAAGGGTTAACGTAGTCAATTTGTAAAATCTAATAAAAAATCATTGTGTACAGTAATAAAACAAATTGTTTACTGTTTTTGCCTTTTCCCTTTTATTGTTATATCATCGATTTTTGTTTTAATGTGTGTAAATGTGTGTATGTCTGTAACAATGCTTTGGCGATGTAAAGCCTTTTTCCAACAAAGCTACTTGAAGCTTGAATCTGAATCTGGTCAAAAATCTAAAGCTCTCTTATTTATCTAGAGTTGACTCATTTTAACCACTAGATGTCACTGTCAACACGACACAAATCCCTCTTGTGTTTCCTATCTGAATGACAGATGGAAAGAGGGATTATCTTGGTGATTTTAGGCAAAGATTAGAGGACAGCAGATGCCCTCTGTGGATGGAGAGGAGCATGAGGGGAGAAAGGAGAGATGAATAAAGGTATAAGCAGAAAACCTGATGAGCGTGCATGTGGGCAAGTAATCAAAAGTGGTGCCGGTGAAAAAAAGAAGGAATTTTCATATTTTACAAAGTAGATTTATACAAACACACTGCCTAGTCTGTTGTCTAGAGCAGTGTCTTGTATCTTTTTGGATCAGTTATTAGTGCAATAAAAAAAAAAATACAGTTTATACATTTAATTCGTTTTATTGTACACAGGGAATTTTCACATATACAATTTGTACACATCTTTTTTTTTTACAATTAGGCCTATATATATTTTTCTAATTTTTTTTCTCTTTATTTTTTTAAATCTTTTTGTTGTTTGATGACAGGTCAAGTAACATTTAGGCAAACAAAATAAGAAAGAAACAAATTAAATGTTTAGGAAAGTAGCGCAAAAACAAAATACAAACACTTGAAGTAGAATAACATCCGATTATGTGTCAGATTCCGAGAGTCACTAATTTACCATCATCCTCTCTCCATTCCATAATGCTGTTCTCTGATTGGTTCCCTAAGCTCATACTGCACTCTGATTGAATAGCCTCTAAATGGATATACATGATGAGGAAAAATCTGCACATGCTGAGATTACATCTCCATTCATTTCTCACATAGATCTAGAATATCAGAATTTCGGCACTTTCACCTTGAAATTCACTTGACGTTTTGTTCCCATGTGTAGCCTACATCTTGGATAAAAGCGTCTGCCAAATGCATAAATGTAAATGTAATGTATAAATGGCTCTAAATTATCCTGGCAGTAATACAAGTAAACCTTCAACGTGCAAAAAACAGACTCACCCACAGATTTATTGAAAGTGTGTGTGCATGTAAGCTTGTGAAAATGTGTGAATGTGAGTAATATAGTACGCAAGAGGACAAAATCGCTTGTGCGCTGACCCAATGATGAGGATCTGGGTCGTTTAAACTCGCAAACACATTCAGTCATGGTTTAAAGGAACAGCTCACCCCAAAATTGTATATATGTATAGAAACAACATATAAAACATATGACATGTGAAAGAGTAATCAATGACTGAATTCAAATATTTGGGTGACTGTCCCTTTAAGAATATTGTGTATTTGTGCACAAACCAAAGATCAAATAAATGTCTACACATCCATAGATTTGCTTGAACCCTTTTACCATATTTAAATCACTGGATAAAACAAAAGGAAGTGAGCACAGTAAGGAAACACACATACACACTCACCATGAGCACACACACAGAAGCTGATTTACTCTTACACAACAACCATGAACATGTCTAATATCGCTGTGTCATTTTAAGTGCATTACAGTGATTTTGGCAGGAAGCCTAAAATACTGAACATATAATTAACAGAGCACCACTGTATTCTCAATCTGACTCACAAAAAACGTACACTAAAGTGTGTATGTTTATAGAACAATCATCACATGATCTTATTATCAGTTTGGAAACACATTTGTTCTTTTACTTATTCACTCCCTCACTCCCTCTCTCTCTCTCTCTCTCACACACACACACACACACACACACACACTCTCTCTCTCTCACACACACACACACTCACTCACTTACTCACTCACTCACACACACACACACACACACACACACACACACACTCGCACACTCGCTCACACATACACTCACTCGCTCACACACTCGCTTTATTTATTCTGTATTGATATTTATTCCATCAACGTCAATATGTTTCTTCCCACTATGTGAGCTCTCTCTCTCCCTCTCCACCATATAAATAACTATTCGTCCCAACCGGTTGAACATATTCTTCTGTTTTATCCCAATCCGATACCCATCCTGCCCCAGCACCAGCTCCGCCCCCATTCGGACCACCAGCATGCGGATTGTTTATCGCTCCGTACTGCCCGCCAGTCCTGTACAGCTCTTCCGTTTCATTGGCCAGCTCGTCCTCTCCCAGAATGCCACACTTCTCCTCACTAGTATTCTCAGCATCCGCCCATGGCTGCTTCTCACCTGATGCAAAGATCCCTGGGAACATGTTTAAATGAAGTATGCGTCATTTTATGAAAGATATGACAAAAGTAATTTAGAATGTCCATTATTTGTGAACTGAAAAAGAGATATAGACTTGTTTTGATTATGTTACTTTAATTGAACACAACATACCATAAAATATCACCCCCCCATAATGCACCAGTGATGCAATGAGGAAGACATATTGCCACTCGTCACGTGTCTACAGGCAAATAAACAATGAATAAAAAATTAAGAAATTCAACAGTACCAATCATTTTCTGGCATGTGAAGGTTATGTGATATTATTTGTATGTACCTTATGTTTGGTCATTGCTCCAACTATGAGAGGACACACCATTCCTGACAAAGTTCCCACTCCATTGGAGATTCCCATCAGGATACTGGCGTAACGTGGAGCAATGTCAAGATGATTCACATTAAACCCTGAGAGGGAAAGAATGATACATCTGAATTTATATCTTACAATTGCAACTTGATTTCTCATAATTGCGACTTTGTATATTTCAATGTAACTTTCTTTCTTGTAATGTAACTTTAAATTTTGTAAATGTGACTTTATATCTCATAATGTGACTTTTATTTTTGGTAACTTCTTACAATTGCCTTTTTACTTTTTTAAGTCAGGCAGAAAAAGGCTACCACAGAAGATCCCTGACAACTAGGGTTACTATTGGGCCTCAATGGATGTGGCACAAAAATAGAAAAGAAAAAAGAAATGAATACTTTTATTCAACAAGGATGTATTAAATTTATCAAAATGGAAAGTACAGACATCTATGATGTTACAAAATAAATATATTTCAAATAAATGCTGTTCTTTTGAACGTTCTATTACTGTAATAAAAGAATCCTGAAAAAATATATATCAAGAATCCGACAAAAATATTAAGCAGCACAAATGTTTTCAACATTGATACAAATAATAAGAAATGTTTCTTGAGCAGCAAATCAGCTTATTTCGATTTCTGAAGGATCACTGAAGACTGGAGTAATGATGCTGAAAATTCAGCTCTGTCATCACAGGAATAAGATACATTTAAAATGTACTACAATAGAAAACAGTTATTTTAAATTGTAATATTATTTCACTGTTTTTACTGTACATTTAATTGAATAAATGCAGCCTTGGAGAGCATAAGAGACTTCTTTCAAAAAACATTTAAAAATCTAAAAAAAACTTCTGAACGGTATGGCTAAATTAATTATTTTGTTTGGTTTGTCTTTGTTCTTTTCTGTTACTAACCTGAAATTGCAAATCCACTGAAGCCAACAGCCAGTACAAGGAAAGAAATGGCAATTGCTTTGGTATGTGAGAAACCGACAACCAAGAGTAGAGTGGCTTCCATGCCAAACCCTAAAACACACACAGACACACACAACAGTATTGTCTATTGAATAAGGAAGCGTCTCTCTGTCTTTTAAAGAGAACATACACGGTCTACTGTGGCTCATGGTCTACCTGTGTATACTCTGTGCCGTCCATTTCTTGGATGCTGTGGTGCATCTGTCTCTGTGTGGGGTTTGTTTGTATGTTGTGCGTGCAGATGATTGTGTGAGAGAGCTAGTGTGCATTGATGCCTCAGTGATTATTGGCCCAGCTGCCGTTGCTGGACGAGACAGAGCAAAATAGGCAACTCACACACATAAACAGTTTCTACTTTGTGTAGCAAACCTATATATTTTGTCCTTTTATAAAGAGGACGTTTACCAAAAATTTTTAATTCTGTCATATTATGGCTATTAATTCAGGGTCACGTCATGCTGTTGGCCCTAATACTGCTAAAAAAAAGGGACAACATGAAGTTGAGTAAACAATTTAAATGTTTGAGTGAAATTTAATGTGTTTTTGTTGTTATTATTGTCTTTATCACTTTATCTATATCTTACCTCCACAGTTCATGAGTTTACGGACATTTGTTGTGGTCATTAAATTATGTGTTCTCAGGTAGTCGGCCAGCTGTCCTCCTATTGGCACAATGATGGTCATCACTAAATGAGGAAGTGCAGACACCATCCCCACCTGAGCCACAGAAGGAACAAAAAGAGTAGCTATTGAACAAAACATTTGAATCCAGATGCATCATACTGCATTGTATCTGTGTGTACTTAAATTTCCCCTGTTCTTGAGCAGTGGTTTTATTATTTGTTTCTTACTTAAACTGTTTACTGTCTATCAAAAGTAAATAAAATTGTTCTTAAAACCAAAATTGTTCTAACCCTTGGTTTCAATAGTCCACTTCAGATATTTTACTAACTATAAGTAACTTTTCAACTTAATGTCAACTTAGAGTATCAGTAGACTGTTAGGTTAGGGTTAGTAGAATAAATTGGCATTTACTTGCAAAGTTGTTGAGGGACCATCAAAGTAAAGTGTTAGCAGATATTAAGCAGGCAGTCTACTAATACTCTAATGACTGCTAGTTGACATGTTCTGTAGTTGCAAAGTTACTTATAGTTTGTAGAATATCTGTTGAAGGACCATCCAAATAGTGTTACCAATCAAACACTGAAATCCATTAATATTACCTGCATGATTCCAACAATACGCTAAATTATCAACATGACAATTCAACCATTCTACAGTTTTGGCTTCTAAATTTCTCAACAGCACAAACGCATGGTTGGCAAAAACCATTTCATCCTTAATTTAGAGTAGTCTAGGTTGTTTTCTTGTATATTTATTGATTATATTTGGCATTATTTTTTTCCTGTTTTCCGCTAGCCTTTAGAACAGATCTGATTTATTTTGTGGTTGCAACCTGTCAGTCGATTCATTAATGTGAGAGTGTGTGTTTCACCTTGCTGATTTCAAAGCCGAACACCTCCTCGAAGTAAGCAGGCTGGCTGATGAGGAGCAGGTAGAAGGTCCAGCTTCTGCAGAAGTTGGCCACGATGATGGCATACACTGGCATGGAGGTAAAGAAGTGCCGCCAGGGAGTCTTAAATTTCTGCAGGGTAGTGAAAAACCAGAGGTCGGACATATTTATACACAGCGGATTTAGAGTGTCTGTGTATGAAAGAGGGGGAGGGGTGTGGGGGTGGACGAGTGATTAAGAGAGAAAAATAATGCCCGTGTATGTACCTGTAGGGGGTTGACCAGGCCGGCGCTTTCCCCGATGGCATCCTCAATGTACTTCCTCTCCTCTGGTGAGATGGTTGGGTGAGCAGCTGGACTCTCATAGGACACTAAAATCCAGAAGAGATACCAGAATATCCCAACACTTCCTGTGAGACGAAGAGAAACGTGCAATAAGAATTATTATATAGTACAATGAAAATTATATATACACACTACTGTTCAAATGTTCGGGGTGGGTATGTTTTTGAAAAAAGTTTCTGAAAGTCATTATGTTCACCAAGGCTGTATTTGTTTGATCGATAATACAGTAAAACCAGTAATATTGTGATATATGTAGCGTCTGGACCAATCAGACACACAATTATTCATTATATTTAATGAATAATCCAGCAAGCCCCCTCACCTAACCACAAAACAAGGTGCCAAGGTGTCTGCGAAAACCAACCAAAAGGATAGAACAGGCCCCTGGTTACCATGGCAGCAAAGGCACGCCAGCGAGATAAGACTGGTTTACGACCAAAAGAAATGTGGAAAGTTAACTCTCACTCAATTTCCCTATTAAAACTCCATAACGCCCATAAAGAATGCCCATAAGGCCCATTCAGTCATAGAAAATCTTCTATGAATGAACATGCACATCTCCAGGACAGTGTGTATGATTATTACAGTCCTGTAGTGTCTTTTGTATTGTATACTGTTTTATGCGTGCTTTATGATAGAAGCACTAGTTAATTTAACCTCATTTATACCATTTTTGGTGTCTGAATTTATATTTGATGATCAAAATGATCATGTATATGTTGATACCTATGCAACATATTAGTTTTAGCAGAATCTTTAATAGTTTCTGCATCAACACCAATCCAGTTACATATGCAAAATACCATGCTCGAAGACAAAGGGTCGTAAACTTTCCCTCCGAAAGTTTAAGTTACCATTGGCTCACTGACCCCCTGGAGGAGTGACCTCCACAGAAGTTAAAGGCCACTGTCCCGGCTCAAGCCATGTGTAACCTCCCCGGCCTGGAGAGAGGACTCTCCCAACAGTAACAGTCAGACTAACATCCCTGAAGTTTCGACATCCTTCACTCAACCCGGGAAGAATTGCAACTTCTTCACCATCGAACCATTAAAAGCTATCAAGACTCTCTCCTGAGACTGCATATGCGGAAGCTTGTTCAACAGCTAAGGCAGTGCAAGTATTGTACATTTAACTAACTAAACAGAGGTTTAGTATAAGCTGTAGACCAATTGTAACCAAAGTGCTTGAACTAAGAAAACCGATGGTTATTTTAGGATGGTTACACTGACATTTCTTCCCGTTTCCCTTTGGTTTCATTCAGTCATTTTCACTTTTCCATTTCCCATGAATGCATGCTTTGTGTGTATGTGTTTGTTTAGACTATTATGTGTTTGTGAGTGATTTAGGTAAATAAAACGTTTGTGTACATTTATTGAGTCCCTTTAAGTCCCTTTAACGATGCCATCACCGCTACACATTAAGAAAGACTTATTTTACACTTGGTTTATTAAATAAACAAAAATTGTATATTTATTAGTGTTATATATAATAAAATGACATGTGACATGTGTATGCTACTTACCATACACATAAAACACTGAGGACCACCCGGTGTACTGGACCAAGACTCCAGCCAAAGGCATTGCAACAACAGCACCAGCATATGAACCTAGAACGTACAGACATCAACACACAGTTCTTATGCTTCTTCTTATTAGCACTATTCATTAACATTAATATTAATCTCAGTTTTTCACAGTTCTCAATTCAAGGTTCAAATAATCACAAAACTAAATTCTACTGATAATATCAGAAGATGTATTTCATGGATTCAAATGACTGACATCTCACCACAGAACGCTGTTGTTGCCAATCGACTTCTTTCAAGGGGCGGAGCCCATTTGGCCCAGATCCCGTGACATGCGGGATATGACACGCCCTTTCAGTAGAGAAATAAGATGAATTAATGGCTGCATCCGAAAACTTGAAACGGGCGTTAGGCAGCTGACTTGTTGCCTCGCTGCCTTATAGGCAATGACTCTGCAGGCAGCGTTTGCAAGGCACCTCACGAAACAGACTTCTGAGGCAGCGTAATTGTTTAATGATCTACAGCAAAATAGAGAGTAGATTGGTGAGAACCAAACAAATATTTAATTATCGCTAGAGGTGACATCAGAAGTTGAAAACACTGTTCAAAAATGTACATTTACACACAAACTGACCACCAACCACAACTTTCAGATGCCATCTTTCTTTTTCTAGCTCAACTGAGACCGAATGGAATGCACAGGATTGTGGGATATCAAAGGCAACAAAGGATACATCTATGCTGCCTTCAAAAATCATTCAGATGAAGGTGCCTTGATGCCCTCCAACCTTAAAAATGCGTCATTTTTTATTTTTCGGATGGAGCCAATATGTATGTAACCATAAGGGCCTTTACATAGTCAACGCGAGCAACGCGAGCAAGCAACGCGAGCGACGCGAGCTACGCGCTCCTTTTCATAGTACACAAGCGTCACCGGCGATGCGTGAAATGCAATACACCGATCGCGCAGCAGTAGTAGAGTCTAGAGTCGGGTCACGTAATATTCAGATCAAAATGGCAACTGAAGAGGAGTGCATATTGCTGATTTTACATCGGCGGCAACAAAGGATGTATACGAACAAGCTCGCATAACTTTTCCTCTTCGCCCGCCATTGTATTCAAATCTTCTTCTTCTGTAAACATAATAATATACCTTTTTATGTACATTACTTGCAATGTCGCCCCCACCGACAACGCATAGTATTGCGTGCATCGGCGCGTCGCGTATCAAAAACTAGGATGACACATTTGGCTACGCATCGACGCTTAATGGCGGCCGAAGCGTAGCGATGTGTAGCCTTGCGCACGCGTATGCGTACCGATGCGTTGACTATGTAAGGGCCCTAATGGTAACAAAACCTTCCTTAGCATGATGCAATGCTTTCAGATAAATAATACACTAATATTACAGACTACATCAGATTCACACAAATCCACGCATGCACACAGATGGCATACCTCCACAAGGCCCTGGCAGATCCTGACCATGATAACACACCCGTAGTGAACTCTAGCTGCTGATGGGATCAGCATATTCAGTGTCGAAGTGGCCACAATGGCGAAGCCAAACACCCTGAGACCAAACACACATGCAACTCAATAAATATCATGCTAAAATCTCAAGTGGACAAGTCATTTGTCATTCCAATGAATATTTTTCAGAGTGTTTTTTTTTTTTTTTTTTTTAAGTCAAACTCTGTATATACCATAAGTTAAAATCTTTACTACAAAATAGCTTTTGATAATTCCAACCAGGGTATAAAAAAAAATCGAATTTCGAATTACAATTAACACAAACTGGTCTTTTGCCGTATTTTATGGGATAAGTTGCCACAAAAGCCAATGTAACAGACAACTCACAATTGTGTAACTGGACTTTTGACTCAAACCCCTCAAAGCCAATTTTGACAATCTGACCTAAATAGCACAATTTTCATTCATAAAACTCCAGAACGCTTGAGAAAAACATGTCAATTCGCTGATCACATTACCGGTTAGCAGCAAACTTTTGACAGATGAATCCTCCAGGGATTTGCGTGACAATGTAACCCCAGAAGAACGAGCCGTGAATCATCCCAACTGTCTCTGGGTCCCATGTGAACTGAGCAGCCTGGAAGGAAAAAGAGAAAGTCAAACTTCTCTCATCCAACGTTCAATCGACAGCATTCTGTGCAAAAAGCTGAGAATATTGCAGTCAAAGTGCACTGCTTGTGTATTAGAAAATGATTACACATCATTCTTTAAGGCATCACATAACCTGAACCATCTCTTTTTCTGTGTTACATTTGCAAAAACAAAATGAATGTAGAGAAAGAATGTGAGAAAGGAGAGAAATAAGTAATAAAGTAGTAAAATCAATCACTAAAAGTAAAAGATAAAGTAGCATATAATAAAATAAAAATATTTTATAATAATAATAGTTAATAAAAATTCATTATTATTATTTCACAGTCAAGGCTTAAGCCTAGTCTCAGATTAAAATACAAGTTTGAGACGGTTTAACTGAAAGCAACTTGCACTGGCGTATCTTAAAATATGTCAGTGTCATTGTTTTGTTTCAAGATGCACACCAATAATGTTTTTTTTTTTTTTTAAATAAAAACTACTTAAATGCCCTAATTGAACTAAGGCCTAATCCTGGCTTAATCTAAGCCCTGTCTGTGAAACCGGGCCTTTATTTTCTACAAATCTTATTTCGCTGTGCAGGTTCTGAAACAAATGATCCCTGTGTGCAGGGGTAAATTGCTTGAATTGCTTTGGTGGGTGAATCCCTGCACTTTCTGATGAAATACAGGGAATTAAGCAAAGTCGATTCCCTCTCGTCTCACAGTGCAAACTGGATCAAGATGCAAAACTAACTGGCTAATGATGGTAAACTGGGATTTGAGGGGGCCCTTAGGCTATTTGTTGTTTTTCTTATAATTTCTTATAAATCTGTGTTGCATTTATCCATGCTAAATGCATCTTATTTGTATGCTAAATAAAACAACAACATAAAATGCCTAAAATATGAACAATGATAAACCCAAAAAAACCCAAGATTTCGTCATTCGGATTTCAAATAATGTCTAACTCCTGTCCACTCTTCATATTAATTTTCTTATACTCGAGTGGATGCTCTTTATTTGTTAAGTTGAATTCCAGCACTGATACGGACCACTATGATAGGTTTCTTTCCGGAGTAAATCGTGTGGTCGTTGACCATGCTGACGATGGCTACACCCAGGTTACAGCGGATGCCGAATGAGATGCAGAAGCCCAGGCCTGACAGGATGGCGATGATGTAACGGCGAGGCAACCCAAAACACGTGCAGTCCACGACGGGAAGCTCCTTCTCCTCCACCAGCTCCGGGCGACCTTCTGCTGACAGCTCGATCGTCTCGCCATTCTGCTGACGTTTCTCGAGGAGTCTGGATGTGGATACAGGAAAGTATAAGGCCAACATAAGTTGAGTAAAAGTAACAGTGTGCAAAGATTTTCTCAATTCATATAAAAAAATGTAAAACATATTCAAATTAACTGTCTCTGATTAGTGATAATACTTATACCCCTGGTTTCACAGACAAGGCTTAAAGGTCTAGTTCGCCCAAAAATGAAAATTCTGTCATAATATACTCACGCTCATGTTGTTCCAAACCCGTAAGCCCTTCGTTCATCTTCCGAACACAAATTAAGATGCTTTGAAATCCGAGAGCTTTCTGACCCCACATAGACTACAAAGTTATTACCACTTTCAAGGCCCAGAAAGGTTTTGTAAAGACATTGTTAAAACAGTCCATGTGACTACAGTGATTCAACCTGAAGCGATGAGAGAGTTCCCTTTCGTAGTCACTCCGAGTTACGTCGGATGACGGAGAATGGGGGTTTCGCCAGAAAGCCTATCATCTTCGAGTATTAAAAAACGAGCCTATGGTAATGAAATGCCATGGGTCTGAGGAATTTGCATAATGTATCTCCGCCCCACCGCGTGGGTATTTAAGGAGAGACACCTGCAACAGCAGATCATGTTTTCGCTTCGGAGCCAAGAGCATCTCTTCACTCCACAAGCCAAATCCTGAGTTTTCTCAGTGACTACATCTCTTCGAGACGAGCGAACTCTCCGGTGTTGGTGTGACGGCGGTATCCAGCGAGTTTCACATTGCCTGCGAGCTGAGCAGTGGTCTGCCAGTGGCGAACCCAAATCCATTCTACCCGGACGTGCATGAAGAGATCATGAGATCGTGGAAGTCTCCTTGACTTTTCGCGACTGCTCAGTGGCCTCTTCCGCCTTCTCTGCCCTTGTAGAGGCCGCGGCCTAGGGTGCACTGGGGTTCCCCCTGTGGAGTGTTCTGTGGCAACACTTATGTGTCCCCACAGCGCCTCCACCTGGCGTGGCGACTCTTAAGCACCCCTCCAATGCCTGTAGGTTCTTGTCTACTCCGGTGGCGGGGACCTATAGAGCTGCGGGGCAGGCTGTCACCTCACTGCGTGTTATTGCCATCCTCCTGGGTGTTCAATGACATGCACGAGGGTAGGGCTGATTCAGGGCTCATCCTTGAGCTGCCTGCCGTCACCGACCTTGCTCTCCGAGCGACGTAGGTGACCGCACGCTCCCTGAGTCAGGTGATGTCCACATAGGTGGTCAGACACCTCTGGCTAACCTGGTTGATGTGCGCGAGGCTGAGTGATTTCGTTTCCTCAACTCCCCCATATCCCAGGCTGGCCTCTTCGGCGGCGCGGTCGAGGACTCTGCCCAACAGTTCTCGGCCGCCCAGAAGTGGACTGTGGCTATTTTGTCTGACCCCGCGGCTTTGCTGCCTCCAGCTGCCGGCTCAGACGCCTCAGTCCGCTTGCTGCCGAATGCGCCCTCCTGCGACTTCCGCACCCTCCCGCCCGGCCCCCAGCAGCACTGGGGCCGCGCCGTGGAGGTGGTCGCAGGAAGGCGCCCCTGCCCGTACCGGTCCCGCAGCCCCGCCAAGGCCAGGCTTGCGGCACTCCCGTTACGGGCAGCTCAGATGTGGGTTGCAGTTCTTCAGGGAGTGGTTGCAGGGCCACTCCTTCCCCCGGTGGAGGGCTGGGGGAGAATATTTTCTAAACCAAAGAGCTGCATCCCATCTCTGAGCCCTCAGAGGGCCGGACGACAGTGTGTGCCGTCTCCGGACCACACCAATCTTGTCCCCCTCTGTCGCCAGACCCCTGGCAGAGCAGACCCCCGTGGAACGCTGGTCCTTCCCTGGTCTCCTCTGTCAGGACGCGGAGCATGACCGTGCCCCCGCACCGGGCCGCTATGCCACCCACGCCTGGGCCGGTCACTCCGCTTCGCTGCCCCTCCGGGGGGACGTCTGTCGTTCGGATGTTTCCGCTGGTTCAGTTCTTGGGAGCTTGGTTAGAGCTTCCCTACCTGTCCCGCTGGGTCGCCCGAACTATCAGGCTCGGCTATGCGATCCAATTCGCACGGTCTCCTCCCTGCTTCAGGGGAGTCCGTTTACTTTGGTCGGTGGCAATGCCCCGATCATGAGAGCGGAGGTTGCCACCCTGCTGGCGAAGGGTGCAATCGAGACTGTCCCTCCAGCCGAAATGAGGTCAGGGTTTTACAGCCCGTACTTCATTGTCCCCAAGAAGACCGGTGGGTTACGGCCAATCCTGGATCTGCGCGTCTTGAGCCGCTCCCTTCACAGGCTGCCGTTCAAGATGCTCACGGCCAAACGCATTTTCGAATGCGTGCGGCCGCAGGATTGGTTTGCAGCGATAGACCTGAAGGACGCCTACTTTCATGTCTCCATTTTACCTCGACACAGACCGTTTCTTCGGTTTGCTTTCGAGGGGCAGGCATACCATTACGCGGTTCTCCCATTCGGGTTGGCTCTGTCTCCTCGCGTCTTTACGAAGGTTGTCGAGGCAGCCCTTGTTCCCCTACGCGAACACGGGGTTCGCATCCTGAATTATCTCGACGACTGGCTAATATTAGCTCACTCTCGAGATCAGGTTTGCGTACACAGAGACCTTGTGCTCCGGCACCTAGCCCGTCTGGGCCTTCGGGTCAACTGGGAGAAGAGCAAACTTTGCCCCGTGCGGAGGATCTCTTTTCTCGGTATGGAGATAGACTCGGTCGCCATGTCCGCGCAGCTTACGAGCGAGCGCGCACACTCACTGCTGACTTGTCTTCGACAGTTCGGGGGCAAGAGTGCGGTCCCACTGAAACTTTTTCAGAGGCTCCTGGGGCATATGGCATCCGCAGCCGTGGCAACGCCACTCGGATTGCTTCATATGAGACCGCTTCAGCTGTGGCTTCGCGATCGGGTCCCGAGGTGGGCATGGCATCGCGGTACGCTCAGAGTTCCAATAACTCCGACCTGCCGTCAGTCCTTCACCCCGTGGCGGAACCTCAGCTTTCTACGGGCCGGAGTTCCCCTAGAACGAGTTTCCAGGCATGTTGTTGTCTCCACAGATGCCTCTGCCACGGGCTGGGGCACCATGTGCAATGGACATGCAGCCGCGGGCTCCTGGACAGGACCCCAGCGCCTCATGCATGTCAATTGCCTCGAGTTGCTGGCAGTACGCCTTGCCCTGCACCGCTTCCACGCGCTGCTCCAGGGTCAACACGTACTTGTCCGTCCGGACAATACCGCGACAGTAGCATACATCAACCATCAGGGTGGTCTACGCTCTCGCCGTATGTCGCAACTCGCACGCCACCTCCTCTTATGGAGTCAGAAGCACCTGAGGTCCCTTCGTGCTATTTACATTCCAGGAGAGCGGAACCTTGCAGCCGACGAGCTGTCACGGCTCCGGCCAACCTCTGGCGAATGGCGACTCCATCCCCAGTCTGTCCAGCTGATATGGGACCAGTTCGGGGACGCACAGATATATCTGTTTGCCTCCCACGACTCATCCCATTGCGCCCTGTATTACTCCCTGTCCGAGGGCACGCTCGGCACGGATGCACTGGCGCACAGCTGGCCCCAGGGCCTACGCAAATATGCGTTTCCCCCAGTGAGCCTTCTCGCACGGACTCTGTGCAAGATCAAGGAGGACGAGGAGCAGGTCATATTGGTCGCCCCATACTGGCCCACCAAGACCTGGTTCTCCGAACTGATACTCCTCGCGACAGCACCTCCTTGGCCAATTCCTCTGAGGAAGGACCTCCTTTCTCAGAGACGGGGCACCCTATGGCACCCTCGTCCCGATCTTTGGAGACTCCACGTGTGGCTCCTGGACGGGACGAGGCAGGTTTGAGTACCCTGCCACCTGCGGTGGCGGCTACCATCGCTTCCGCTAGAGCGTTGTCCACGAGACACGTCTACGCGTTGAAGTGGAACCTCTTCGTCAACTGGTGCTCTTCTCGGCGAGAAGACCCCAGGAGATGCTCGATTGGTGTCGTGCTTTCCTTTCTGCAAGACGGGCTGGAGTGAAGGCTGTCTCCCTCCACCCTGAAGGTGTATGTGGCCGCTATTGCCGCTTATCACGATGCAGTTGAAGGTAAGTCTCTGGGAAAGCACGACCTGATCATCAGGTTCCTGAGAGGAGCGAGGAGACTGAATCCTCCTCGCCCTCCTCTCGTACCCTCTTGGGACCTCTCAGTGGTCTTATATGCCCTGCAGAGGGCTCCCTTTGAGCCTCTGCAATCAGTGGAGATTAAGTTCCTGTCAATGAAGACAGCGCTCCTGGTTGCACTGGCCTCCATCAAGAGGTTGGGGGATCTGCACGCACTCTCCGTTGACGAAGCGTGCCTGGAATTCGGGCCGGCCTGCTCTCACGTGATCCTGAGACCCCGGCCTGGATATGTGCCCAAGGTTCCCACCACTCCCTTCCGGGACCAGGTGGTGAACCTGCAAGCGCTGCCCCTGGAGGAGGCAGACCCAGCCTTGGCACTGCTCTGTCCAGTACGCGCCCTCCGTGCTTACGTAGACAGGACGCAGTGTTTCAGGACCTCAGACCAGCTCTTTGTCTGTTATGGTGGGAAGCTGAAGGGAAAGGCTCTCTCCAAGCAAAGGTTATCCCACTGGATAGTGGACGCCATTGCTTTGGCTTACCAGCATAACAGACATCTGCAGAGCTGCAGGCTGGGCGACACCCAACACATTCGCCAGATTTTACAATCTCCGAGTGGAGCCAGTCTCCGCCCATGGACTGTCTTTTTCAAGCTAACATGGGAGCCGTTAGGTGTCTCGCTTGCTCGCCATTCCAATCCACGCACTGGATACGTGCGATATTTGCTCAGGTAGCCTTCCTCTCTGAAGCCCTGAGTTCCTCCAGCACTGTTGACGCTGGCGCCAGTGTCTATTGCCTGTGCGTCGGCTAGGTGCCTCCGTGTGCATGGTTCCTCCTCTGAGTAACCCCCACATGTGTATTTCCACTGTAAGCCTCTTTGAACATGTGTCTTTCCCTCGGCAAGCCACCTTGCCACTCCTGGAGTTGAAAGTTGCCACCC